AAGAAGAAGAAGAAGAAGAAGAAGAAGAAGAAGAAGAAGAAGAAGAAGAAGAACAAGAACAAGAACAAGAACAAGAAGAAGAAGGAGAAGAAGAAGAAGAAGAAGAACAAGAACAAGAACAAGAACAAGAACAAGAAGAAGAAGAAGAACAAGAACAAGAACAAGAACAAGAACAAGAACAAGAAGAAGAACAAGAACAAGAACAAGAACAAGAAGAAGAACAAGAACAAGAACAAGAACAAGAACAAGAACAAGAACAAGAACAAGAACAAGAACAAGAACAAGAACAAGAATTAATAACATTTATTCATTTAGTAGTTGTGTCCAAAAAATATTTACAGTGAAACTGATAGTGAAGTAATGTAGATAAATTGGATGACCCGATTGTTTCTTTGGGAAACTCCTGAGGATTTCACTTCATGGAAGGAACAAACAATGAAATGAAAAAGTTCTGAAAGAACTCCACATGGGCTTGATGAAATATGTTTGGAAAAGATAATTTGTTTTTTGTTGTTGGTTTTTAATGAAGATAATGTTACGTCATCGGCGAAATACATTTATCTTCTGGGGACAACTGAGCTGACTCAAAGGTTTTGAACATCTCAAAGGTTTTGAACATCTCAAAGGTTTTACACATCTCAAAGGTTTTAAACATCTCAAAGGTTTTAAACATCTCAAAGGTCTTAAACATCTCAAAGGTTTTAAACATCTCAAAGGTTTTAAACATCTCAAAGGTTTTAAACATCTCAAAGGTCTTAAACATATCAAAGGTCTTAAACATATCAAAGGTCTTGAACATTTTTCTCTCAAAATTCTTGAACATTTTTCTCTCAAAAAGTCTTGCAAAATTCTTGAACATTTTTCTCTCAAAGATCTTGAACATTTTTCTCTCAAAATTCTTGAACAGTATTCTCTCAAAGGTCTTGAGCATCATTCCCTCAAAAGTCTAGAACATCATTCTCTCAAACTGCCCCGTGGTTTTATGCACCCCGCATAATTTAGCAAAATTTGATCTTTTTTTTTTTTTTTGGTCATAATTTCTAATTATTTTCCTTTATCAGTCTAGGTTAAAATCAACAAAATCGCACAGTTTTACATTTTTGGGCTCAGTGTGCATAATTTCAGAATTGTTCTTGCATAAAACGACGGGGACAGTACAAAGGCCAATTGAAGGCAACCGAGACAGGAACAGCCCAAGAGCAACTTTTAAAAAAAATTCTGAACAGGCAGGTAATGAGAAAGATCCTGATGATATTGTTTCTTTTATTTATTTATTTATTTATTTATTTATTTAT